TGCTTCCACTCACTGGCCACTTTATTAGAAACACGTACCTTGGCCCGGTGGGCTAAAGGTCTAACAGAGCAGACAGTTTGTGTGGAAAGTGCAGATTCTAAACTTTCAGCCCACATTTATAATATTTTATGATGATGTTATTATGATCTGATTTGATGAAAAGTTAATGTTGTGTATACAGTCTTGTTTTGCAGAAAGAAAATCCATCTTTTACAGTTTTTGACATCAAAACAAGCAGAAAAAGTCAGAAAAGCAGATTGGAATCTGTCGATACAGAGTGTACATGAAAAGTGAACATAATTGATTAAATAAATAATTTTAAATTTGCATTTGAAAGGTAATAACTCCAGCGCTGTAAGGGTTAACTGGCCCGGTGTGCGTCAGCTCCCTCAGGGCTTTATCTGGTCTCCTGACGTGGCAGACGTGAGTTAACGGGAGAAAAAAGTCCCCAACCCGTCGCCAGCGCACATCCTCGTTCGTCACGAACGTTTCACTGCGATTATGAGCAGAAACTGTTTTCCAGCTTTGATACATGTAGGTAATTAGCCGAGTCTTACTGACCGTATTAAAGTGATAGTTTGGTGATGAAGGTGATTTACACTTTTTCCTCCTTTTCCCCAAATATAATCAATTAGCTTAGACATGTTTGGAGCATAAATCACAATTACACTGGCCTCAAACTGTGTGGAGTTGTTAAGTATCTCTAGTAGACTAAATAATTCATAGTATATGCTGAATAATTCACAGTAGATTTATAGTAGATGCATAATAATACATAGTAGTTACTGAATCATTCATATAAGATAATGAATATTTCATAGTAGATGCAGGAATAATTCATAGTAGATACTGAATAATTTATAGTAGATGCTGAATAATTTATAGTAGATACTGAATAATTTATAGTAGATGCTGAATAATTTATAGTAGATACTGAATAATTCATAGTAGATATTGAATAATTTATAGTAGGTACTGAATAATTCATAGTAGATACTGACTAATTCATAGTAGATCCTGAATAATTCATAGTAGATACTGAATAATTCATAGTAGATACTGAATAATTCATAGTAGTTACTGAATAATTCAGAATAGTTACTGAATAATTCATAGTAGATACTCAATAATTCATAGTAGATACTCAATAATTCATAGTAGATACTGAATAATTCAGAATAGTTACTGAATAATTCATAGTAGATGCTGAATAATTCATAGTAGATATTGAATAATTTATAGTAGATACTGAATAATTCATAGTAGTTACTGAATAATTCATAGTAGATATTGAATAATTCATAGTAGATACTGACTAATTCATAGTAGATACTGAATAATTCATAGTAGATGCTGAATAATTCATAGTAGATACTGAATAATTCATAGTAGTTACTGAATAATTCATAGTAGATACTGAATAATTCATAGTAGTTACTGAATAATTCATAGTAGATGCTGAATAATTCATAGTAGATGCTGAATAATTCATAGTAGATACTGAATAATTCATAGTAGTTACTGAATAATTCATAGTAGATACTGAATAATTCATAGTAGTTACTGAATAATTCATAGTAGATGCTGAATAATTCATAGTAGTTACTGAATAATTCATAGTAGATACTGAATAATTCATAGTAGTTACTGAATAATTCATAGTAGATGCTGAATAATTCATAGTAGTTACTGAATAATTCATAGTAGATACTGAATAATTCATAGTAGTACTGAATAATTCATAGTAGATGCTGAATAATTCATAGTAGATGCTGAATAATCATAGTAGATACTGAATAATTCATAGTAGTTACTGAATAATTCATAGTAGATACTGAATAATTCATAGTAGTTACTGAATATTCATAGTAGATGCTGAATAATTCATAGTAGTTACTGAATAATTCATAGTAGATACTGAATAATTCATAGTAGTTACTGAATAATTCATAGTAGATGCTGAATAATTCATAGTAGTTACTGAATAATTCATAGTAGATACTGAATAATTCATAGTAGTTACTGAATAATTCATAGTAGATACTGAATAATTCATAGTAGTTACTGAATAATTCATAGTAGATATTGAATAATTCATAGTAGATACTGAATAATTCATAGTAGATACTGAATAATTCATAGTAGTTACTGAATAATTCATAGTAGATACTGAATAATTCATAGTAGTTACTGAATAATTCATAGTAGATATTGAATAATTCATAGTAGATACTGAATAATTCATAGTAGTTACTGAATAATTCATAGTAGATACTGAATAATTCATAGTAGTTACTTAATAATTCATAGTAGATTCTGAATAATTCATAGTAGATACTGAATAATTCATAGTAGTTACTGAATAATTCATAGTAGATGCTGAATAATTCAGGTTTCTTTGAGGAACTGAAAATGAGTCTCCTGAAAAGAATGGAAGCTGTAATAAAGGTAAAGAGTGACACACTGACCACTAACACAGCTGAGATTAGATGTAGTTGCTGAGGCTTCCTAATGGCCGTTTTGACTGGAGGTTAACTGAACGCCGGCCGCTCTCTGACTTCAGCGCGGTGCTGTATGTAAGACTGAGCTGTTGTGTTTGAAATGTAAATGCCCTGCTGGTCTGAATGAGTGTGGGAGTGAGTCTCATTTGCAAGTATGAAGTGCGAGTGAGCAAACTTGGTGTGTTTAAACGATGACTGGCCGTTCCCCATGCACTCCTCAGCGACCAGCCTCACTCTCCGCAGCTCCATTCATTATCTGCCCACTCCAGTGGACATGACGCAGTGACCACAACATTCACCCAGCTATGGAAATTCTCACCCAATGCTGACTACAGCATCGCTGATACTGCCCGGCTCACCGGTCATTTCACACTGACACTGCATATCCGTCCTCATTAAAGGCATTTCGGTCAATAAATAAACACACATACTTTTACGTACATGATGGTCAGACAGCTCAATATTCATACACATTTGCCCAAACGGGTTTTTTGATGCAGTATTAAGTTCTTAAAGTCCTTTAATGTTAAGACTGTACATCATAAAAATCATAAAAGATCAAAAATTAAATGAAGTCAAAATCACACAAAAACACAAAGTATGGCTCATAGCTGTTATTTTATTATTTAAAGTAGATACTTAATCATTTAAAGTGGTTACCGAATAATTTACTGGATGTACTGTGTAATTTACAGTAATTACTTAATAATTCATAGTATTTCATTAATAATTCATAATGGATGTTGAATAAATCACAGCAGTTTCTGAATAATTCATAGTGGTCACCAAATAATGTATAGTACATACTGAATAATAGTTACTAAATAATTCATAATAAATGCTGAATAATTTATAGCAGATACTGAATAATTCATAGTAGTTACGGAATAATTAATAGTAGATATTGAATAATTTATAGTAGATAATTAATAATTCATAGTAGATACTGAATAATTTGTAATAGATCCTGAATAATTCATAGTAGTTACAGAATAATTAATAGTAGATATTGAATAATTTATAGTAGATAATTAATAATTCATAGTAGATGCTGAATAATTCATAGTAGATGCTGAATAATTCATAGTAGATATTGAATAATTCATAGTAGATAATTAATAATTCATAGTAGATGCTGAATAATTCATAGTAGATGCTGAATAATTCATAGTATACACTAAATAATTCATAGTAGATACTGAATCATTCATAGTAGATATTGAATAATTTATAGTAGTTACTGAATAATTCATAGTAGATACTGAATAATTTATAGTAGATACTGAATAATTTGTAATAGATACTGAATAATTCATAGTAGATATTGAATAATTTATAGTAGATACTGAATAATTTGTAATAGATACTGAATAATTCTTAGTAGATGTTAAATAATTTATAGTAGATATTGAATAATTCATAGTAGATCCTGACTGATTCACAGCAGACAGTGACTGATAACGCTCGTTAATGAATCCTGCCCGTGTTTAAGGGGTTAATGTACACAGTGATCGTGTGTGCTGTGTTTGCTCCGCTGCAGTGTCTGTAATTGTTTTCTGAGTACATTGGGCTCTGATTAGTTTGGCCTCGTTCACAGTCCATTTACATCATTGCTCCATTAGTGCTGTGGAGTTGTCTGGTGTTCAGAATCAAACTGATGCTGATTGCAGCTGGAACTGCCTCTGCGCTGTTTGTCTGCAGCGCCCTCTGCTGCTCCGTACTCGCTCCTGCAGCTCAGCGAGGCTGCTGAGACTCAGTTTAGCCCATTTTAACGTTTCAGCGCAACCAAAGTCCCGCTGTCATTCACATTAACACACTGCAGCCTTCAGAATAACCAGGTCTGAGTCAGTGCAGCGTCTGAAATGAGCTAGTGAGGAATAAAGATGCTGATGTTTGTGATAAATCGATTTATATCAAATTAAAACACGCGCGTGAAGGCTGGACGTGTTTGCGCGGAGAAAGTCGTCAAGGAGCGTCAGGAGTGGGCTGATAGTGATAATAATGATTTGGTGACGAACTGGAGGGTCTGGAACCCCCTCCCATTCTCTCCCTCTCTCTCCCTCTCTCTTTCCCTCTCTCTCTGTTCTCTGTTATTTCTCTCTCTCTCAGTCTCTCTCCTCTCTCTCTCTCTCTCTCTCTCTCTCTCTCTCTCTCTCTCTCTCTCTGTTCTGTTATCTGTCTCTCTATTTCCTTTATCTCCTCGCTGTCTCTCTCTCTCTCTCTCTCTCTCTCTTTCCCTCTCTCTCTGTTCTCTGTTATTTCTCTCTCTCTCAGTCTCTCTCCCTCTCTCTGTCTCTCTCTCTCTCTCTCACTCTCTCTCTCTCTCTCTCTCTCTCTCTGTTCTGTTATCTCTCTCTCTCTCTCTCTCTCTCTCTCTCTCTCTCTCTCTCTCTGTTCTGTTATCTCTCTCTCTCTCTCTCTCTCTCTCTCTCTCTCTGTTATCTCTCTCTCTCTCTCTCTCTCTCTCTCTCTCTCTCTGATCGTATATAAGCGGATGGGGTTGCAGGCTGAAGTCAGTCGACTCTGCATTTAGAAGAAAAAGCAGCTGCAAAAACTCCAAACTCCTCAGCCTACAGGCTTTATCTCTGCACGCGACTCACAGTAAGTCTCCTTTACGAGTTTTCATCTCTTCTTTCATTTGTTCTTTTCTCTGTTTCTGAGTTCGGTGACTAAAACTCTCTTTTACCAAGATTTGGCAACCCAAATGCTTCTCGTTTTGCTTGCATTTTGTGTTTTGTTGTTGTTGTAGTTGTAGTTTTTGTTGTTTCTTTGTTTTCTGTGTGAATGAACTGGCTGAACTTTCTTCTTACATCTATCATCTGGTTAGTTCAGAGTTTGGTCATTTTACCTTGAGACCTTCATTCTTTTCTAAGTTATTTGACACAAAAGTCATTTTTGCCAACTTTTGGCAACCCGGTGTGGTTTCAGGATCAGCTTCCCTCTTTTTTGTGTGAAGGACTCTTTCTTCTTCTCCATATCTCCACTGTTTATTTGGTGAAGATCAGCTTAAAAATCTTGATCCGGTTCTAAATTCTTTAACTACAAGCCACAAAATTTGCCAGCTTAGATTGGAAACTGCCAGCTGCGGTTCTTCAAAGGTTCTTTAGTGCAGGCAGCAATTATATACAGAACCTTGATATTTTAAAGAACCACTTGATTGTTTAAATCTTAAAAGTTTTTGTACAAAAAATTATGGTTCTTTAAGGGTTCTTTAGTGAAGACACTCAAAGAACCATTTGCATCATTAAAGTTCTTTGCGTTGTTAAACTGTTCTTCAGATTGATGGAGAATGTGTTGTAGATGGTTCTATATAACCTATATGAAAATAGTTCTATACGGCACCAAAAAGGGTTCTTCTATTGCTACGATGTCAAGCTTGTAGCCATAGAAGAACCCTTGTTTTGGTGCTGTATAGAACCATTTTCTTTACTAAAGATCCCTTGAAGAATGTACCCTTTAAATGTGTATATAAAGTAACATAACATTAAAAAAATATTAATTCAGTCACAGTTATTAATTTGAATGATCAATTTATGATATCAGCCACTATATGATATTGATTATTGGTTCTCGTATCAGTATTTGTTTGTGTGTTTGTTCTGCGTATCATATCCTGCCCAAACTCAACATCTTCACATTTTTATGGAAACAAACTGGCGGAACGTTGTGCATAAATAAGTGAACCCTGCAAGAAATCTAACACACTCGATCCAGATAAACTGAGAACCTCTGAAGCCACGCAGAGCTGGATCAGGTGTGGTAGATGTCGGTCAGTGCTGAGACTCTGCAGGGTGGATCTCCAGCTTCAGGGTGGTTCTCAGGTCTGTTAGTCCGTTCAGCACCACGGACAGCAGCTCCACCAGTCAGCCCTGCAGAGCAAACTCGTCCAGACCATAGTAATGAAAGGGGTTCTTCGGTTCCAGCCCACTCTGTCTACATATTTCAGTGTTCTTCCTGTTCTAGCTCGCCTGATTCAACTCATCAGCTCATTACCAAGCACTTACTCAAAGGGGAATTCCAAGAAAATTTTCAAAATTTCTGTATAATTCAGTGTTTAAGATGTAATCAGAGAGATTCAGAGTGGTTTGGTGTGAAATGGTTCAGATGTCTTTACAGTGGTGGTGATAGGAACCAGGGGTCGCCATGACTACAACACAGATATAGACATTTTATTTACTATCAAAACCACCAGTGAACCTACACGAGTCTTCTGAGTTTATATGGAATGTTGATGATGGAAAATAGTGGAAAATTGGACAAAAAAGCCATTTTCTTTGGAAACTATTTTTCCTTACGCCAAATTCCCTTAAATGAGGGTAAAATTGGTGAGTTCTAGCAGGAAAACACTAAAATGAGCACCACAAAGGGCTCTAATAGCGTATCAGTGCCTATTAAAAACATATATTTCGAATAGTAACTTTATAAATGAACAAAAAATGAAATGTCACATTGTACGTTTTGTTCATTTTGATTGGTCCATTCATCATGAATTGATCACATAATGTAAAGGACAGCTGGTGTTTTCAGTGGTTCACTCTTGAAGAAAGATTCCCAAAAGAGTTCTTTGAGTTATATTACAGAAGAACCACATATTTCTATAGTATACTATAGTTATATTGTAGAAGAACCACATTTGAAGAACCTCTTCAAGGTTTAGAAAACCTTCACATAATGTAAAGGTCAATTTAAGGGCTCTTCCTAGAACCTTTGCTTTAAAATAGTTCACACACCTTAATTGCGATACTCGTTTTTTAAAGAACCATCCTCCGAAAGAGCCTCCAGGGAACCAAAAGTGGTTCTTCTACACTCTTAAAAAGCATGGCTCTCTAAAAAGCTTTAACTCTTAGAAAGCAAGGTTCTCTAGTAAAGACCATGGTTCTATATAGAACCATGAACACTCAAATTTGTGCATGGTGAAATTGTTCTTCAGACTGATGAAAATGGGTTCTATTTAGCACCAAAAAGGGTTATGCTATATATTTTACGATGTCAAGCTTGTAGAACAATAGAAGAACGCTTTTTGGTGCTCTATAGAACCATTTTCATCAATCTGAGGAACCGTTTATCCAAGCAACGAACTTTTGAAGCATGCAAATTGTTCTTTCAGCATTCTTGGTTCTAAGTAGAGCCATTATATTACTAAAGAACCCTTGAAGGATCTTTTGTAAGAGTGTATGGCATCACACAGAGAGCAGGTGAAGGAGTTTCATTATGACGTTCATCTCTAAACCAGTGAGTTTATCAGAGAACAGAGAGACGTTCTCGCCTTTAACGCCACATGATTTTACTCCGAGTCATTTTGGAGCGTTTTTGTTTTCGTTCGTCACAAAATCATCACACAGTATAAAGCACAGATCATGTTTTTCGAATGGTGTTTGGAGCTTTTGGTCTGAAAATACACTTATTTTATATCTGACCGACTACAGGATGACCAGTTACTCTGCAGACTGGGGTGTTCAGACTTATTCACAGAGGTCCTGCAGGTCTTCATTCCAAACACACAGGATCAGACCGGACTCCACTCGTTTAATCAGTAGCTCTCAGTCTTAAACAGTTGACCAGATGTGGTCCTGCTTTGCTGGAATGAAACCCTGCAGCCACACCGGCCCTTTGTGGACAAGATCGGACACTCCTGATATAGACGATGACCGCAGAGATGAACGGACGCACGTTTCTTGCTCCTCTACTGGCTGCACACTTTCTGCTTTCTGCTTACTGAGTTTCAGTATTTAGCTGGACCGTTTTCCTCTTATTCAGTCGTCCTTTATCCAGATTGAAGATCTCTAACAGATTTTTTTTTTCAGAATTTCTTATTTTTTTTTAATTCTTTGCCTCATTTTACCTGAACAGACCACACTGGGCTGCTTCAGACCTCAATAAACAAATTTTCATTTTATTTTTTAAATGAGATTCAACTTTATTGCGCAGAGTAAGGGTACAAAGCCAATCAAATGCAGTTAGCATCCAACCAGAAACGCAAAATACAGTATTATTTACAGATGAGTGCAGGAAAAAGTACCATAGAAAGATGCTGTATGTTACAGTATGTACACTTGTGGACAGCTGAGAGTTACAGTACACAAACATTAAATTTCAGTGCTGTCGGAACAAAACCTGGTATCTCCATTTTTGTCATTTTTCAGTTTTTGACATAATTTGAAAATACCTGTTGTCCTTTACATTCTGTGTAAATTTCATGATGAATGGACCAAAAGAAATGACCCAAAATGAATTTAAAAAAAGTCTGGTTCCATTGACTTACATTAAAAGTAGAGTATGTTTTTTCCTTCTCCTGTAAAGTTACCATTTTGGAGATACGAGGTTTTCTTCCAACAGTGATATGTAACTTATATTGAATATTCTAATATGTTATATATTCTATCATATTGAAATGCATATACACAGAGGGAAAGTGGACAGAGAGTGCAAATGTAAGGTTGTATGTACAATCAAAACATCTGCCGTAGTGCCTTTGGATGGTTCTTTGAACAAGCATTATTGTGAATGAGATGTGTGATTTGGAAGAACCTCTTTAAAGAACCTCAGCACAATGTAAAGATTCTACGTATGTGAAAAGCTTTCCTAGAACTTGAACTAGAACTAGAAACGTGCATTTAATTACTTTACGATTGTCATTAAGAAATGTGTGAAAATGGTCTAAACCATTTGCTGGAGCTGGAAATGCTGATCCAAATATCTTAAAATCTAATTTTGTTAAATTATTTTACAAGTTTAACCCTTTAAATCTGTCTCTAATTCTGCACTCTCATCATTACAGGACCTCCACATTGGCTTCATAGTAGTTACTCAATAATTCATAGTGGAGTCATTTAGAGCGGATGTAGAATAATTTACTGAAGGTACTGAATAATTCATAGTAGACCGAACACTCGAATGAACACTCAAAGAACCCTTTGCATGATTAAAGGGTTCTCTGCATGGTGAAAGAATGTAGATATGGAATAATTTACAGAGGATATTGAACTATTAATAGTAGATACTGAATAATGAGAAGGATGTGCTGAATAATTCATAGTAGATACTGAATAATTCATAGTACATACAGAATCATTCATAATACATAATGAATAATTCATAGTAGATACTGAATCATTTATAGTATTTACTGAATAATTCATAGTAGATACAGAATAATTCATAGTGGATACTGAATAATTCATAGTGGATACTGAATAATTCATGGTGGATACTGAATAATTCATAGTGGATACTGAATAATTCATGGTGGATACTGAATAATTCATGGTGGATACTGAATCATTCATAGTAGCTACTGAATAATTCATAGTGGATACTGAATCATTCATAGTACATAATGAATCATTCATAGTAGATACTGAATCATTTATAGTATTTCCGGAATAATTCTTAGTATTTACTGAATAATTCATAGTACATACTGAATCATTCATAGTACATAATGAATCATTTATAGTAGTGAATCATTTATAGTATTTACTGAATAAATCATAGTGGATACTGAATAAATCATAGTAGATACTGAGTTAATCACAATGGTCACAGATATTAAAGTTGGGAGATGAGCTCTTGTGATTAATTCTGACCAAAATGTATCTGGTTTGTGATTCTCCTGAACAGATGACTGTCATGTTGAAGTCGTGGACGGTCGTGGCCGCCCTGCTGCTCTGCGTCCTCCTATATCTCGGCACCTTCGTGGACGCGTATCCTCCGAAACCAGAGAACCCTGGAGATGACGCACCTCCTGAAGAACTGGCCAAATACTACACGGCCCTGAGACACTACATCAACCTCATCACGAGACAAAGGTGAGCAACCACACCCACCCACCCCCCCCCAACACACAGTGAGTCACGCTCACACCACAATGGGACATTTTCATACTGTCTCATACGGTGAGGAAAGGCCGGCTGCAGATCATCGACGCCCGCGGCTCTCTCATGCATCACTGATGGTCATTTCCTGCTCGTCCTGCAGCCGTTTATACTCCCTCTCTCGCTCTGTGGCAGTGATATCACTCAGGACTGTAGCTGGAGCCCAAAATATCATTACAGGTCACTCTCACAGCACTGATGGCTCTCCTTCTCGCTATGAAAGCCCAGCAGATGCGCCCTGAGTGGTCCGGAATCCAATCCGAAACAAATTTTCTCCACCGGAGATCCATTTACGTGGCCCCCCAGGAGGGCTGACTTTATGTACACGTTTATGATTTCCGAATAGGTTCTTGACATTTAAAACAGAGACCAAGGCGCCTCTGTGTGCAGTAGGATTAGATTTATGAGTTCCGTTTACATGAGTTCTAGCTTCAAATGTGCAAATAATGGCACTCTGGCTTCTAATAACCGGCTTTAATATCAGAGCAAGCAGAAGAACGAGGAGATGGTTCCTCTACACAGGACGCCGGATGCACAGCCTGTCCATTCTGAATAAGATCTACAGTAAATTCTTCAAAAAAGGGTTCAGCTTTGTTAAAAGCTTGACAATTTTCTGTGTTATATAGAACAGTTTTCAAAAAGGTTCTGTATGGAACCTTATACAACACATTCTGTTTCAATCTAAAGATTCATTTCACCATCCAAGGAACTATTGAAGTACACAAATGGTTCTTTAAGTGTTTATGGTTTTATATAGAACCACTGTTTTTACTAAAGAACCGTTTTTTTTGAGAGTGTAGAAGAACCACTTTCGGTTCCCTGGAGGGCCTTTGAGTAGATGGTTCTTTAGAGAACCAGTATCCTAAATAAGATGTATGAACTATTTGAAAGGTTCTAGGAAGACCTTTTCATTACGTTACGAAAAGGGTTCTTTGACTGTTCATGGTTCTATATAGAACCATTGTCTTTACTAAAGAACCCTTGAAGAGCCATCTTTTTCAAGAGTGTATAAGAACCATTTTTGGTTCCCTGGAGGCCCTTTCGGTGAATGGTTCTTTAAAGAACAAGTATCCTCAATAACATGTACAAACTATTTTAAAGCAAAGGTTCTAGGAAGACCTTTTCAGTACGTTACGAAAGGGTTCTTTGACTGTTCACAGTTCTATATAGAACTGCTGTCTTTACTAAAGAACCCTCGAGGAACCATCTTTTTCAAGAGTGTAGAAGAGCCACTTTTGGTTCCCTGGAGGCACTTTCAGAGGATGGTTCTTTAGAGAACCAGTATTGTAATTAGATGTGCAGACTATTTTAAAGCAAGAAGAACCCTTAAATGGACCTTTACATTATATGAAGGTTTTTTTAAACTTTGAAAAGGTTCTTCAAATGTGGTTCTTTCGGAACCAAAAATGGTTCTTCTATGGTATAACTCAAAGAACCTTTTTTCTGTAGTCTTTCTTTGAGAGTGAACTATTGAGAACATCCCTACAGTGCGTCACACTGGAAGCCTCGAAGGCCGAAAATGTTCTTAGCCGTGAAGTGGTACCATTTTCCTGCAGCCAAAGACGTCAGTCCAGTCCAGACAGCCTCATAGCTGCAGTGCAGCGTCACCCAAGCGGCCGGTCCGGGCAGCAACATAGCTGTGATGTAACATCACTTAGGCAGCCGGCCCGGTAGGCCTCCTCGCCTCAGGGTAGCGCTGCTCACACAGCCAAACCCTTCCGATCCTGACAGCCCCACAGCTGCAGCCTAGCGCCATCCAAGCAGCCCACAACCAGCCACACAGCTGTGATGTAGTGTCGATCCGTTCCCCAGTCCAGAGAGCCTCGTAGCTGCAATATAGCGTCACTCAAGCAGCAGCTCCAGGCCACATCATAGCTGTGTGTGGACTCTGTATCCCTCAAAGGGGAACCGATTTTGCGAAACTACTTAATCATTCAGTGGTTTAGATGTAAACAAAATCATTCAGAGAGTCAAAATTGTTCACCATTACAGCACTAAGAACTGGACGTCCAGAGAATTTAATGGCTCCAAAAGCTACATCCTGTTAGGTTATTGCACAAAATGGTTGTGAATGCATTGCTTGATACCTGAGACACAGGTTTGATAGTGTTGTTATAAAGTTTTGGCCTAAAACATATTAGAACACGAGGATTTCTGGGACTTGTAAAGTATTTTCTCAATTTATTTTTGTATCCTGGTGCTTCTCAGTTCACCACCACTCTGAACAGGTAACCAGCGAGGTGCAACCGTGATCTATTGCTATGACTGCGTACGACACAATGCTGCCAACCCAAACAACACAAAAGGCTGATTAGTAAGTTACTCACATCAGCTCAGTTTTGCTGACCGTGCGACGCTGCGCTGCCACCCCAAACAACACAAAAGGCATGCAGGGCGGAGGGGTACATGCAGGGTGTTGTAAGGAAAAAATAGTCCCCAAATAGAATGTATTTTTTGAATTTAGCACTATTTTACCATCATCAGTGCGACATATAAAACCATATAAGACACATAGCTCACTGGTCATTCTGTAGAGCAGATAAACTGGTGATATTTGTAATATAGACATACAGACGTCTGGTTACTATAATAGTGGACAGTTCTGACTCGATAAGTTTCTCTAGAAAGGCACATTTCACACCAAACCACTCTGAATGATTATGTTAACATCTAAACCATTAAATGATTAAGTAACTTTGCAAAATCGGTGGAGTTCCCCTTTAATGGCTGGCTCTGGCTCTGTTGGGTCAGGACCCCTGAGTCAGGATTCGAGAGCTGTGCTCCAGCTTCTTATTAGGCTGAGTGGGGTTTCTGTGAAGCTTGTCAAACCTAGCAACGGTTGCTATGAAAGAGCACATTAGCATACATAGGCTGCCTACAGTGGAAGACTGAATTGGAAGAATTCTTGCTGAGTCTCAGACCGTCCGGCAGAGTGACCCACATAAGACGCTTATATAACCTCTGCAGAATTTACCGTGACCGAAAACGATTTTTCAGAAAGGCCATAATCATAAATCCGTCCACTCCGGTGCCCCTCATTCTGAAGCGTATGGACGGGCGGTCAGTCGTGACTCCATCAGATAACGGCGTGTCTGTTCATATTGTAATGCTCAGCGGGACGCAGGTGGGACTCGGCAGCGGCGCCGCTTCAGGAGCCCCTGCCATATCAGCTTTTCCTCAGGTGGCCTGATGTGGCCCGCAGGCGAGAGCGCAGGAGGAATTTGAGCATAAAATTGCTTTATCAGTGAGAGCGCTGACCCCGCAGCTCGGAGCGAGAGAGCATTTTGAGGTCCGATTTAGAACAGAGCAGAAACTTTATGGTCAGATTCACTGCATTTACATGTACTTCAGTTATAGCTGGTGTCTTTTCCATTAGAATAGAAGCAAATGGGTCAACAGCGTGATGTGCAGCTTTTTGGATCCAATTTCCTATTAAATAATTTAACAAATATGTGATAAATATCACATTATTCTACAATATTGCTGCTGCTGGAACAAACCTTGTATCCTCAATTTGGTCATTTTTCTTTTTTTTTACATAATTTCATAATAATCTTTACACTATGTTTAAATTTCATGATGAATGGACAGAAACTGACCAAAATGCCCTAAAAATACTGTAACGTTGACTTACATTGAACCTTTAGAATGTTTTTGTCTTCTCCTGTAAAGATGTTGGAGACGAGGTTTTGTTTGATATGTAAATACATTTTAAATGCATGAATTTCCTCAAATGTCACGTGGCGCAACTGACAGCAAAGGACTTTTATTCTGAAGTGCAGTTGAGAAAGAGTTTCCAGTGTGTTGCATCAAAATAATGCGTAATAAAGCTTTTTGAAGAGCAAAGGTTTGTCAGAGGGTCCAAGTACAAAGACTAGTTTGTGTACGTTTTCAGTGGTAAATACATTTAAAATATAATATTTTTAATAATTTAATGTGTGGCGGCACCATTTGACATTTTCTGGGTGGCAAAAATTACCTTTTGAATTAAAATGTATTCCTTAAATTATTATTTACACCATATTGATTAAACAAATATCAACATGTTGAATATATATATTAAGAACCCTTTTACAGTGCAAAACGACTAGTTTGTATATATGTATGTGTATATATGTATATATATATATATATATGAACCATGAACACTCAACCCTTTGCATCATTAAAGGGTTCTTCATATTGATGGAAAATGTACTGTAGATGGTTCCATATAGAACCTTTTCTGAAAAGGGTTCTATACAGCACCAAAAAGGATTCTTCTATTGTCACAATGTCAAGCTTGTAATAATAGAAGAACTCTTGGTAACACTTTACTGTAGGGTGCTGTTCATAAGGCAATATGACACCTACATAAGCTTGTCATGACGACTGACATAACCCTACATAAATGTTTATAAATGCTTATTCCAATAAGCACCATTCGTTATAAAGGTTATATTTGCCCGTGTTGATCACAGTTAGCTAACGTAGCCTTTAAGACAGATGCTGCCTATGGGAATAAGCATTTATAAGCATTTATGTAGAGTTATGTCAGTTGTCAAGACGAGCTTATGTAGATGTCATGTAGCCTTATGAACAGCAGCCTACAGTAAAGTGTTACCGAACTCGTTTTGGTATTATAAAAAGCCCTACAAAAAGGTTCTATATAGCACCGTAAAAGAGTGAGGAACCACTTAAACATTGAGTGTTCATGGTTCTATGAAGTTCCACAAATGGGTTCTTTGAGTGATTTCACAAAATAACCACCCTAAAAATATTTGAGGAAGATATTTGTGAGTGTGAAGAACCTTTTACAAGCTAAAAGAACCTTCACATAATATAAAGGTTCTTTACCAATTTAAGAATCTTTACATCATGTGCAGGTTCTCAAACGTTTTACAATAATACCTGTCTAAAGAACTCTCCTTTGAAAGGTTCTTTAGGGAACCAAAAGTGGTTTTTCTATGGCATCATGCAAGGTACCTTTTTCTGGCACCTTTTATTTAGTGTGTAGTACCAAACAAAGGGTTCTGTGATAGCAAAACCCTTTTTGGTGCTATGCAGAATCATTTCTTTCAAAGCTTCTTTGAAGAACCATAGCAGGCTTTCCATCGTGGAGAAGAGCTGTTCAACCATGCAGAGAAACATTTATGCATTCAAATGGTTCATAGTTCTAGATACAATGATTGGTTTTAATAAAGAACACTTTTATTTACCTTTTATTGAAATAGAACGTTTACATTATGTGGAGGTTCTTAAAACTTTAAAAAGGTTCTTCACACTTCTACAAAAAAGGGTTCTTTAAAAAAACATCCACCGAAAGGTTCTTTAGAGATCCAAAAGAGGTGCAATCGATTCAAGTGGGAAAGTCTTTTGGGTTCCATGTGGCACCTGAGTTTTGAGAGTGTTAGTCTCAATGTTTCCTCACTCGCGTTCCACCAGCCCAGCCCAGACCAATTAAAGCCCTCCTCGGCTCTCAGCGCTGTTGCTGTCAGATTAGTTGCAGGTTCTTCACGTCACTGCGGTTCCTCAGGCTGACCCGTATCAGGGGCTCTGGACTGTAACGCTGCTCCACCTTCATCTGTGGAGATGAAGCTCCATTATAGCTTCATGTTCTGTGTGATTTGAGATCACGAGTGAAAAAATGACCGTGTTCCTGCCAGCCGGACCGGTCAGACGGAGAGACGGGGGCTGACCGCACACTCACTCACTCTCTCCCTCTCTTTTCTCTTTTTCCTGCTTTCTTTCTTTCTTTCTTCTTTCTTTCTTTCTTTCTTTCTCTTCTCCTCACTGTTTCTCTTTTCTTTCCTACTTTCTTTCTCTTTCTCTCTTTTCTCTCGCCACTGTTTCTCTTTTCTTTCTTTCTTTCTTTCTTTCTTTCTTTCTTTCTTTCTCTTCTCTCTCTACTGTTTCTCTTTTCTTTCCTGCTTTCTTTCTCTTTCTTTCTCTCTTTTCTTTCTTTCTTTCTTTCTTTCTTTCTTTCTTTCTTTTCTTTCTCTCTCCACTGTTTCTTTCTTTTTTTTCTTTCTTTCTTTCTTTCTTTCTTTCTTTCTTTCTTTCTTTCTTTTCTCTCTCCACTGTTTCTTTCTTTCTTTCTTTCTTTCTTTCTTTCTTTCTTTCTTTCTTTCTTTCTCTCTCTTCTCTCCACTGTTTCTCTTTTCTTTCATTCTTTTTCTTTCTTTCTTTCTTTCTTTCTTTCTTTCTTTCTTTCTTTCTTTCTTTTCTCTCTCCACTGTTTCTTTCTTTTTCTTTCTTTCTGTCTTTCTTTCTCTCTCTTCTCTCCACTGTTTCTCTTTTCTTTCATTCTTTTTCTTTCTTTCTTTCTTTCTTCCTTTTGTTCTCTCTCTTCTCTCTCCACTGTTTCTTTCTTTCTTTCTTTCTTTCTTTCTTTCTTTCTTTCTTCTCCACTGTTTCTCTCTTTTCTGTCTTTCTTTCTTTCTTTTGTTCAATCTCTTCTTTCTCCACTGTTTCTCTCTTTTCTGTCTTTCTTTCTTTCTTTCTTTGTTTCTTTCTTTCTTTCTTTTGTTCTCTCTCTTCTTTCTCCACTATGTCTATCTTTTCTTTCTTTCTTTCTTTCTTTCTTTCTTTTTCTTTCTTTTTCCTTTCCTTTCTCTTGCTATTTCTCCCTCTTTTTCTCTGTTTTCTCCCTCTTTTTCTCTGTTTTCTCTCTCTCTCTCTCTCTCTCTCTCTCTCTCTCTCTCTCTCTCTCTCTCTCTCTCTCAGGTATGGTAAGAGATCTACTCCAGAGGGAGTGATGGCTGACCTGCTGTTTGGAGAAAGTAACGAGCACAACCAGCGGTCGAGGTGAGTCCACTAACAGCAGATGATCCTCAGCAGAGCATTTCCCTTATAAACTCGTCACGAGACTCTAAAAGAACTGAAAGAACGAGAAAAAGAACGAGAAAAAGAACGAGACTGAACTGCGTCCAAACGTAGCTTTGATACAAAATACAAAACGTCCCAAAGTAACAGTGTTAAATAAACAGCATCTCGAGATCAGTGATTAAACCCCTGTGACGATGCTAATGTCTGTTAACAGTGTCTGTTAGCGTACCTGTGGGGTTCTAGTAGTGCGTTAACACTAAGCTAACGGTGATGCACATGAACATTTGTGGCCGTTTTAGATTAAACTCAGACATTAGAGGTTTGTGTCAGACATTAATATTTATATCTGAGTCTGTATGTATCAGATATATCTGACTAAGAGCTGCTTTACCCTCCTAACAACTAACCAGAACCTGCTTAGACCACAACTCAAACACAGTATCTAGAACCTAAGGACTAGAGGCCTCTCTCTCTCTGTCTTTTTGTCTTTTTCTCTGTTTCTTCGTTCCTTCCACTCTTTCTGTGTCTCTCACTCTCTCATTCTCTTATTCTCTCTTCTCTGTCTTTCCTTTTTCCCCCGCTCTCTCTCTGTTCTCTCTGTCTCTCTCTCTCTCTGTCTTTTTCTTGTTTTCTCTCTCTTCTTTCTGTCTTTCCTTCTTTCTTTCTCCCTCTGTCACTCTCTTGTTCTCCTTTTCTCTCTTCTCTGTCTTACCTTCTTTCTCCCTCTCTCTCTCTGTTCTCTCTCTCTTCTCCCTCCGTCTCTGTCTCTCTCTTTTTCTTTTTTCTTCCACTTCTTCTTTCTTTCTCCCTCTCTTTACTTTCTCTCTCACTCTCACTTGCTATTTCTCCTTCTTTTTCTGTCCTCTCCCTCTCTCTCTTTCTTTCGTTATTTCTTCCACTCTACCTCCCCTATCTCTCTCTCCCTTTCTCTCACTCTCTCTTTCTCTCTCTAGAAGGCCTATACTGACCTTTTCTTTCACAAAATCTGTTGATTCCTCTGTCGCCTCCTAATTATGTTGGTAGTTAATCTAATGTGCAAGGCCTTCAGTTCAGCTCCTGAAGTCCTGACCAATGAGAGAGCGCGCTCAGCCGTAGCTACCATAGACACCACAGAGATAAACTTTCCAAAGCATTTCAATATTTTAAGCCTGTTGTTTCCGACTAAAACTTAATATTGAAATAAGAATATTTCTACAGCTGTTACAGAGATTAAAAACAAGCATAATGATTGTGTTAAATAAAAATGAACCCATTCCTGGAGAGACCCTCGGGGCCCCCCACTGCTGATTAGTTATAAAAGCACTCTGGAAATGCAAATGTGCAAAACTCTACAGTCTTCAGACCCAAATTACATGCAGGTTTTTTCAGATACAAGTTACAAAACAGTCATTTCGGGTATCTCCTACTAAAGCATGTATGAGAGCCTCTGTCCCTGCTGGGCAGGAGATGAAGCTCTTTCCAGGAAAGCGAACCCAAAGCGCGGAGCCGCTTCTCGCGGGGCGGCCGTGTGAATAGCCGAGAGGGGTTTGCGTGGATGTGAACGGTTGAGAGGAGAGTGACTGATGAATTTTTCACACCTGTAAGCAGAGCAGGGACAGATGGGATCGCTCCTCTGCTCCCTGCGCCCGTCAGGACGGCAGTGGGTTTGAGGACGTGACGCACGCTGAATAACTGAGAGGCCCTGACATTTAACACTCGATTTAATTAGCCCTCAGATCCGCAGGAAGCGGCGCGGAGGAGAAAAGGCTGAAACACTGCGGAGGAGAATGTTAAAGGAAAGCTTCTCTGAATGGCCTTTTACCGGCCATCTGACTTACTCAGATCCACTCGGCTCATGAGAGGGGATACGTTAAAGGAGAACTCCACCAATTTTTTAAAGTTTCTATATAATTACAAGGTTGAGATGTAAACAGAGTCATTCAGAGTGGTTTTTGGTGAAATGCTCCACTTTGGAGAAACTTACCGAGTCAGATTTGTTCACAGTGGTGGTGATAGGAACCAGACGTCCAAAGAGTTTAAAGGGTTATTTTACTCCCCAGTTCATAAAGTCCATAAGTGGAAACTAAACTGCAAAAACAGCTCGTGTTGAATTTCTGTGACGTCATAAATAAACAGTGCATCAATTTAGCCTAGAGCAGTTTAGCCCCGCCCACTTGTATTTAAGTTATAAGGAGCGTTTCAGCCCTGAGCAAGGCAGCCAATCAGAACAGAGCTCATCTGCATATATCAGTCTTAAAGGCACAGCAACAAAAACAGCCCGTTTCATTCTAAGGGAAATAGAGAGGTCATGTAGAATGAATATGAGTGTGTTTGGAACATAAAATCAAATCAAACTCAAAATAAATGTCATAAACACTCAACAGACTGTTAGTAACAATTCATTTATTATTAATCCATTAACAACATATTAATAATATAGCAGCCGTGAAAACATTCAGTAGATTGTCAGAAGACTTTTAACTAACTGTGTAAAAAAATGTTTAGAATCTGCTGAATTCAGATTAACTTCAGGGTTGAGGTTAGGGTTAGGGTTAGGATTAGGGCCAAGGTGAGGATTAGGATTAGGTTTTGGTTTGATGTTAAGATTAGGGTTAGGATTAGGGCCAAGGTGAGGATTAGGATTAGATTTAGGGTTAACGTTAACGTTGAGGTTAGGATCAGGGCCAAGGTGAGGTTTAGGATTAGATTTAGGGTTAACGTTAACGTTGAGGTTAGGATTAGGGCCAGAGTGAGGGTTCGGATTAGGTTTTGAGTTGAGGTTAATGTTAGGGTTAGGGTTAGGAGTAGGGCCAGAGTGAGGTTTAGGATTAGATTTAGGGTTAACGTTAAGGTTGAGGTTAGGATTAGGGCCAGAGTGAGGGTTCGGATTAGGTTTTGGGTTGAGGTTAATGTTAGGGTTAGGGTTAGGAGTAGGGCCAGGGTTGTACAGGGTATACCTATACAACATTTCATCACTTTAAAGCGCTCATATAATGTAATAAAATTATTCTCCCTTTTTTAGTTTCAAGTTTAATGTACACTGAAAAAAATGTTGTTTCCACTTAAAAAAGTTGCCCTAAAGTTTTGAGTTAACTGAATTCCTAATAGTAAGTTAACAGAATAAGTATCTGTGTTTTATAACATATCAAATTATTATTTGACGTTCAAATAACTCAAAATTTGAAGACATTTAAGGCAGTTTTTGGCAGTCTCAAAACACTGTTCACCCCCTGAGGTCCATAAGGTCCATATAAGGAAACTAAACTGCTCAAAACAGCCCACTCATTCTGTCTGTTCCCCAAGCTGGGTATGCTTAAAGGGCCTTCATCTCCATGGAAATCTGGAGCTCCAGAATTAAAGGGGGGCCAGCATGCTTGCAGTTAAGCCCCGCCCACTCGCACTGAAGTTATAAAGAGTGTTTCAGCTCAGACTGCTTTTTGAATGATATCTGAGGAAACTGTAGGAATGTAAGTGTTAAGCAGTCGTTCTCTTTCTCTTCCAGATACGAAGACTCTTACGCATGGTGATGGTCAGTAGCGTCCACTCTGCTCTCCTGTGCCTCCACAGAAAACCCGCAGAAAGCATACGTTTCAACCGAATACACTCGTTCCATCCGTCTCTCCAGCTGCTCCTCATCGACGCGGAGCAGCTCCACCGTCCCTCATTCAAACTGTACATAATTTATTACTGAACACAGAATATTCATGAGAATATGTGCGTGTACACTTCACTGTGTCTTACAGAGGACATATTCTTTACTGTTTGTAAATATGACTGTGATTAAAGATGTTACTTGATGACGTGCCATCTGAACTGCTCTGCCTCCAAAATACATCCTACATTCTCTCGTGTTTAGTGTGAAATGATTTCAGTACAGCAATGAAAGATAAAAAACCATGAATGTGTTAATGTAAAATTGTCATGACTGGGCTGTATTTCTGAAGATCTAACCCAGGGGTCGGCTATATGTGGCTGCCCTGTTGTGGCTCCACAGCAGAATTAGATCTGTAGGTAAAAATAAAATAATCCTCCTTTACAGTAAAATAAAGCTCTGCTGATCGTTCAACACAGTTTAACAATAAATGAACTGCTAATTAACCCTGTAACCCTGAAGATCAGCGCAGACTGCTGGTCACCATAGCAACACAGACAACAGTCTCGCCTAACTAGTATCTAACGAAAAGGCAAAGAGGAAGATTAAAGACGAACATCGATAATTTGGAGATGAATGGACTTATATGTGTTTATAATCACTCCAGCTGGTTTCCTGATACGTTTAATCTGCAACGAGAAACTGACAAACACTAAAAAGTTGTGAGGCTGAAGTCGCTTTCATTCACCAGCATCTTGTTCGAATTTTCTCATTCCACCTTAAATGACGCAGCAGTTATATTCTGGCGCCTCAGGCACCATTTAAGGTGGAACGGGGAAAATTCAAACAAGAAGCTGGAGAGTAAGAAGCGACTTCAGTCTACAAAAAGTCGAACACTGAGAGACATTTTACAAGAAACTGTTCTACTTTTGTGGAAAAGTTTCCTGCTGGAGATGCGAGAAAAGCAGCTATAGCTGAGTTAAAGCTTAAAGCAGAGCAGAGTAAGTCTGCTTTTTGTTTATATTATATTTTTAGCCTGTACTAGGACATTATTACGTACAGAAACACATTTACAGCCAAGATGGTAAAATGGACATAAAATGTTGTGGCTCCCAAAAGGGGTTTGATTTTTGTTGAAGGGACAAAATGGCTCTTCTTTAGCTTTTGGATTGTGACGCCTGATCTAAGCCAAACCAGCCTGTGTAGAACACAGCGATGTACACAAGTCCAAGTCTCTCAAGCAGTGAATTTTAGTTTAGTCTGGTTATCAGCTGCAGACAGTGCATTGTATAAAATTAATCCCAAACTTACCACCTGTCAGATTCTACATGGCTTCAAATAATGAACTTTTATAGAAGAACATTCAGTCTGTTTTAAGGAAGAGAGGAAACACAATTTGAAACGGTTCACTAGCAAGTAGTGTATGTAGCATTCTAGCTAGCTAGCACAACATCTTATCCAGTTTGAACTACAGTAAGTAAACTTCAGCTAAATTAGCTGTTGAGCTAGCTAGCATACTTGCTATCCAAACTACAGACTAACCAACCCATTCAAGCTGTTTTGACTGTTTCCCTTAACCAGCATATCACTGTTTCCGAAAAAAACCACCACGTTTCACACTTTTTTACAGAATTTGAAAACACTTGCTGCCCTTTACAACATGCTAAAGTTTCATGATGAATGGATCAATAGAAAAGCTCCAACAACTTCCGTTCAAAGCTAAGTATGTTTTTTTCCTTCTCCTTTGGGGATACGAGGCAGTGATATGTTATGTTTTTGATGTTGGTATGCTGGTCAACCAGCATGTCTATGCTGAGTGACCAGCTAAACCGGCATAGACCAGTTTAGACCAGTATAAACCAGCCTAGGCCAGAATGGAATTCATGCTGGTTTCTCAGCAGGGTGTGTTCAGCACTTCACTCTGCCCTTCACACTGAAGGTTTTCTTTAATGAAAGGCTGCATTAGAGCAGCGTAGCAGGGATGACTGTGTGTGACTGTAGCTAAAGGGGCAGGTAAAGTCGCACAGGAAGGCTTGGAAAGAAAAGATTTTATTTATTTACCGTATTAAGGCTGACAGATCCAATTTGAGTTGAATTGTGAGCCCAAGTCACGACTCGAGTCCGTACACTCTTAAAAAAGTCTTATTTTTCAATAAAAGACAATGGCTTTATTTAGCACCAAAAAGGGTTCCTCTATTGTTTCAAACTTGACATCATAACAATAGCAGAACCATTTTTGGTGCTATATATATCAAATATGAAACCTCAGGCTCAAAAATTGTATCAGACCTGTGTATTGCTTGTATGGTAAAGTGCGTATCGTTCCACTGCTGCATTATACAGCAGCTTAATGCACAACACAGTATGACACTGCACAGAAATGAGGTTTCAGTACATGTCATACACACACATGCACAGTCAGAATGATGCTGGTGCGGTACTGATGCTGTACTGATGCTGCACTGATGCTGTACTGATGCTGCACTGATGCTGTACAGATGTGGTACTTATGTTGTACTGTACTAATGCTCTATAGATGCAATATAGATGCAGTATTGATGCTGTACCGATGCTGTACTAATTCTGTACTGATGCTGTACTGATGCAGTACTGATGCTGTACAGATGTGGTACTGATGCTGTACTAATGCTGTACTGATGCTGTACTGATGTGGTACTGATGCTGTACTGATGCTGTACTGATGTGGTACTGATGCTGTACTGATGCTGTACTGACGTGGTACTGATGCTGTACTGATCTGGTACTGATGCTGTACTGGTGCTGTACAGATGTGGTACAGATGCTGTACTGATGTGGTACTGATGCGGTATTGATGCAGTACTGATGCTGTACTGTACTGATGCTGTACTGATGCAGTACTGATGTGGTACTGATGCTGTACTGATGTGGTACTGATGCGGTACTGGTGCTGTACAGATGCTGTACTGATGGTGTATTAATGCAGTGCTGATGCTGTACTGTACTGATGCAGTACTGATGCTGTACTGATATGGTACTGATGCAGTACTGATGCAGTACTGATGCTATACTGATGCGGTACTGATATTGTACTGATGTAGTACTGAATGCAGTACTGATGCTGTACTGATATGGTACTGATGCAGTACTGATGCTATACTGATGCGGTACTGATATGGTACTGATGTAGTACTGAATGCAGCACTGATTCTGAACTGATGCAGTACTGATGCGGTACTGATACAGTACTGACGCTGTTCTGATGGTGTACTGATGCAGTACTGCAGCACTGGCAGTTCGTGACCAGTAGGTGTCTCTCTTCATCAGGTGTAAATGCTCCTCATGACTAATTTCTAATCAGCGCTGCATCCTGAGGGTCCTGCATATTGAACAAAACCCCACCTGCTTCATTAAAGCCTACTCAGACACTCAGCACAATATTCACTCGTTTACAATTCATTTATTCACCCATTTCTGATCAAGGCTCTTTATTTCCTTGATCTTATTTTGACTCTACCTGCTGTTCTTTTATACTTTTCATCAATTAGGCAGTAACTTTTAATTAACCCTTTAAAATCACAGGCTTATTACATACTAAGGCTTATTATTCAGCCACTACAGGGGCTTCAGTGCAAACTGGCTGAGCTATTCTTAGGTGTTAGGAGTATGTAATAAAACTGGACATGTAAACAGTTAAAACACTCTAATGTGAATGTTTAAAGCTCAGCCTAAAGATCTACTGTTTATTATATTCTTTCTTAGAGCCGTATGTAAAAGTTTGAAGCCCATCGTTCAGTTCCACGTTTTGTTGATTTGATTTTGTAAGTGGGAAAAATTTAATTATTATTATGTTTTTGGATCCTTTAAAGGGAAGAAGCCCAAACTTGGTAACTTTGTATATATATATATATATATATATGTATATATATATATATATGTTTTCACTCTTTTTGACTTCTTTGACATTAAATCAACAACACGTGGAATTTGACCAGGGGTGCCAAAACCTTTGCATTTGGCTCTATCAATACAATAATCACTTACACAATAATACAGTACAATAAAAACTTAAAAACCGGGTTTAAAGAGTACAGACTATTCACCAAAAGGCACAGCGGGGTCCAGAAATCTGAGATTCAATCTTAATCTTAAAGATTTAATCTTTAAAATTAACAACTGAAATTTTTATAAATTTGATAAATGTAAAACAAAGAAAAACTGTAAGAGGTGAAATAAAAAGACTCTCCACTACTTCTGGGTCACTATTCAAATTTAAGCAAATCAGTGATGCTGACCGCGTAAAGGCCGTTGTACAAAAAGGTCAGATTTGTTTTTCAATTTTCATCCTTCCGGTGAAGCTCCTGTTCAGGCGACTCTGAGGTGGATTTAATTTACTGATCAGAGGATTTTACACCAACCTCTGGAGTCCAGCTCGAGTGCCCACTGTCATTGAAGCAAAAGGGGGACGTGCTGTACTGACAAATACAGACATTCATGTAAATATTTCAGAGATTCTACACTTCACTCAAACTGTTGTGCTGATAGTAGAGTTTATGATTTAGAAGTTGTATTATATTAGAAAAGAATGCAACATAGAGGCGTTTTGACGAGTGCTCTCAGACTTTTTGACACCACTGCAATGTAATTGAGAATCTCAGTGTTTAAAGTTCAACCTTTTGTATTATTTAGTATTATTCACTTGCTTTAAGTGACTTTATTAAGTGAAATTATCTCACTACGTTATTTAAGAAATGTACTTGAAACCAGCAAAATTATCTGCCAGTATAGTGAAATATACATACATACATACAGACATCATCTAAACCGCTTATCCTTCTGGGTCACGGTGGGGTGCTGGAGCCTATCCCAGCTGTCATTGGCCGGAAGGCAGGATACACCCTGGACAGGTCGCCGGTCCATCGCAGGGCAGACAGACATACACATTCACACCTAGGGGCAATTTAGCACATCCAATCAGCCTGACTGCATGTCTTTGGACTGTGGGAGGAAACCCACACAGACACGGGGAGAACAGACAAACTCCACACAGAAATGACCCTGGTCGCCCGGCCGGGAATCGAAGCCAGGCCCTTCTTGCTGTGAGGCGACAGCGCTACCCACTGCGCCACCGTGCCGCCCTATAGTGAAATAATTTTACTAAATAAAATCACCAAAAACAAGTAATTACTGTCTAGAAATCAGCTAAATATTCTTTTAATCAGTGCACGACCATCTAAAAATGGGCAATATTAGATGTATTGACTTGATTTAAGATCATTTCACTTGACAAGACCCTATTTTTGCAGAGTGGAAGTTAACAGAACTAGATTTAGTAACCTTGGAGCTTTTCTACTGAATCATTCCTCATGAAATTTTAGTATGCTGTAAGGCCAGGTGACATAAATGCTGTAAACAAGTATAAAATGACAAAAACAGAGAAAGAAAATTTTGTTAACAGCAGCGATATTAGTATGAATATTTGAAGGCGCCAAAGAGAGCATTTATACGGCATTTAGATTGTTCTCTGATGTCTATATGAGGTATGTGACCAGCTGTGGTTTTAAATGGTCAATTACAATTTGATTTGGGCCTAGAATGAAACAAGCTGTTTTCCCCTTTTTTGGGAGCTCATGAACAATCTGGTGAGCTCTGCTCTGATTGGCCGGTTTACAGCAAGGTGCCTAGATGGCTCACATAGAAGCAACATGTTGAAATAGCCCCAATAATATCTGGCTGCAGAGCCGCAGATCCACAGTTTCTCACCAGCAGGTTCAAGCCAGTGGTGTTCAGCACATGTGTTGACCCTTGTTTAGTTTTTTCTAAGCGAGTTTTAGGCTAACGTTAATTAACGTTTCAGTCGATTTATGTGGGTTTCCAATACATTTGTGATAAATTTGCATTGGGCTACTGTTAGATTTTAAGCTTTAGGCTAAAACAAACTTTGGTTTGAACACATATAGAGATTCACAGGGTAAATACTACACAAACTACAGCTTATGTGGCTCTGGGTTATCTAACGGGTTATACAGACATACAGCTCAGTTAATTCACCCCTAATACGGGGCTTTATGTGTACATTTACATTACATGTGCAGGAATAACACTTAAACTGAGCATAATATTAAACTTTACGCTAAAACAAACTTTAGTTTTTGAACGTATCACTGCTGTAAAAAAAACATAGAAACCATGGAGTGTTTCTCTTTGTTTCTGACGGTTTTGTATTCGCATATTGGCAGCGGTATCTGTTCCTGCATGCTAATAATGCATGACGACACATGCGACCAGCACGAACAGTCGCTGTTTACATCAGAGACATTATAGACGAGACCTGCCGCTGGCTGAAATATGAATGGGAACGCTCTTAACACTCAACTTTCCTATCAGGACTTTGTTTGCACGGTACCCTGCGCATGCGCTCCACTGGCCTGAAACCGCAGGAGTGAAACTGCGGGTGTAAATCTGCAGCTCTGCAGCTCTGCAGTCAGGCCCTTCTCTGAAATAGACACAGTCACGAAAATAAAATGAGCCCCTTTGTAAAATAAGCTGGTCCTCATACTGTTTAGTCAGCTATGCTGGTTACTGAGCCTGCTAGTAGCTAACGTTACCCACACTAGCTACTCGCTTCCGATCTCCATAACAACACAGAGTAAATTAAAGCTGTTGTCTCACTGTGAAGCTCTCAGTTTAAGATGATCTGCTTCAACCGTCAAAGAGTGGATATAATCACAGAGCATGGCTGCTTACAGGCCGCTGTTGGGGTTGTGATGCTAATAGAGGTGGAGCTGCCCCTCCGTCTGGGATCCTGTTAGAGATGCGGGAGCTGGAGTTTACCCACTATTCGCCAGCTTGTTTGTGAATTTTCTGTTCCACCTTAAATGGTGCCTCAGTTACATTCTGGCTGTAGCTGTAGCATTTAAGGTGGAATGAAACATTGGATAAAGAAGCTGGCGAATAGGAAGCCAACTTTAGCCTCATTTAAAGATGGACATCATCCATGCTCATTGACCTCGGTTGGGCCTTCAGAAAGAAAGTTGTAGGTTCCTTGGAAAGGCTATATTTCTGTACCGACATTTCTGCACATAGTCCACCATTTTAATCGCTGTTGCTTTGTTGTCGTATGTAAATTTTGGTGGCGTGAATATTAATGAGTCAAGACTGTTACATAAGCGTTTAGGATTTTGGAATTGGCCTGTTTTACTGTCCTCCTTTGCAAACGCAGGAGGAGGAGACAGCAGTGTTTGAGGCTCATGGTGTGTCAGTAGAACTATACCAATGTAAATACAGTTTTCCCTTCTATGGCACCTTTAATGTTTCTTTATCCTTAATGTTTATTACATATTTGGTGGTATGTGTGGTGTTTAATTTCTGTTAAATAATCATTCATACAAGCAACTTGCACAATTATACATACACTATTATATATACAGCTAAGACTCACACCTTTCTCAGTGTTTCTACACACATACATTATCATATGTAATTTATGCAAAATTTAGTGTAGATTAATATCACAGCTTAAAGCTGTCAAACCCTGCAGTCTGTTTGAATGGAGGTGGTGGGTCCCACTCAGCAGTCAAGGCGGCGTTACTCTTTTAAACCCACGCAAACAAACGCTGTGTTTTGACAGTGTTTTGTTTTCCACCCGTTTTCCGGCTTCTGCGCTGAGAATGGCTAATAGACCATGCATATCTATCTATCTATCCATCTATCTATCTATCTATCTATCTATCTATCTATCTATCTATCTATCTAAATAATAGATAAATAACACTCATTGTCCATTTTATCAGCTCCACTGACCATATAGTTTCACTCTGTAGTTCTACAGTTACAGACTGTAGTCCATCTGTTTCTCTGCATACTTTGTTACCCTGGTCTTCAGTGGTCAGGACCCCCACAGGACCCTCACAGAGCAGGTACTATCTGGGTGGTGGGTCATTCTCAGCACTGCAGTAACACTGATGTGGTGGTGGAGTGTTACTGTGTGTTGTGCTGGTCTGAGTGGATCAGACACAGCAGTGCTGCTGGAGTTTTTAAACACCTGAGTGTCACTGCTGGACTGAGAATAGTCCACCAACCAAAAATATCCAGCCAACAGCGTCCTGTGGGCAGCGTCCTGTAACCACTGATGAAGGACTAGAGGATGACCAACACAAACTGCGCTGCAGCAGATGAGCTATCGTCTCTGACTTTACATCTACAAGGTGGACTGACAAGGTAGGAGTGTCTAATAGAGTGGACAGTGAGTGGACACAGTGTTTAAAAACTCCAGCAGCACTGCTGCTCTGATCCACTCGCACCAGCACAACACACACTAACACACCACCACCACGTCAGTGTTACTGCAGTGCTGAGAATGATCCACCACCCAAATAGTACCTGCTCTGTGAGGGTCCATGGGGGTCCTGTGATTAATGTGACATTCATATAAAACAGACAACATAAGTAATATAAATAAAACTGATGTAATATTTGTAATTAAAGTTTGAAGTTACTAATTTATCTCAAGTTTATTAATTTAACACGAGACAGTGGCGGACTGCTGATTGACTGGCTGACTGCCTGTACTAGCCAATCAGAGCGGAGGGGGCGGGGCTTGTCTCTAAACGGGTGGGAAAAGCACCGTTCGTTTATTGTGTCTCAGATTAACAAGGCTGCGCGCGGCGGAACGATCACAGCGCGAGACAGAGAGAGGTCAGTTTGTTGTTTCTGTGTTTGATTTTGGGGCTTTTGTAAAAACGTTTCTTTCCGCTCTCGCGCTGCGTTGTGTTCACTGCTGTGATGTTGAACTCGTGCCTGATTAAATAAGAGCCGCGCGTCTGTGGCGGCGGTCGCGCTGATGCTGAGACGCGCGCGCTTGTTTGTGCGCGTGAGTGTTCTGTTGTGTGGAAAACGGGGCGCAGCATCCACAATGCATTGCACAAACACACGCGCGCGGCCATGTTGTTGTCGTTAGCATGTGCGTGACATGTAGCATGCTCTCATGTCGCACGCGCTCGTCTGCAGCTTATGTACTGTCTGTCCATGCTGTGTGTGAGGGAGGGAGAGAGAGAGAGAGAGAGAGAGAGAGAGAGAGAGAGAGAGAGAGAGGAGAGAGAGAGAGAAAGGTGAGAGAGGGAGGAGAGAGAGAGAGAGAAAGGTGAGAGAGGGAGGAGAGAAAGAGAAGGAGAGGAAGGGAGAGGTGGGAAATATGAGAAAGGGAAAGAGGGAAAGGGGAAAAAAGAGAAGGAGAAGGAAAAAGAGGAAAAGATGAGAGGGAACGAAAAGGGAGAGACTGAGAAAGAGGGGAGAGAGAGAAGGAGAGGAAGAGAGAGGTGGGGAAAGATGAGAGAGGGTGAGAAGAGGGAAGGAAAGAGAAAGGGGAAAAAGAAGGTAAGAAAGAAGGAGAGGGAAAAGAGGAAAAGATGAGAGGGAAAGAATATATAGAGAGACTGAGAAAGGGAGGAGAGAGAGAAAGAGAAGGAGAGGAAGAGGGGAAGGGAAAGAGAGATGAGAGAGAAAGAGAAGGAGAGGGAGAGGGGAAAAGATGAGAGAGAAAGAATAGAAAAGGGAAGGAGAGGAAGAGAGGTGGGGAAAGATGAGAGAGAGAGGGAGGAGAGAAGGAAAGAAGGAGAGGAAGAGAGGGAACGGGAAAGATGGGAGTGGGAAAGGGAAAGAGGGAGAAGGAGAGAGGGATGAGAGAGTGAAAAGGAAAGAGAGAGTAAGAGAGAAGGAGAGGGAGAGAGAGAGAGAGAGACACTGAGTCTGAGTGATGTAACAGTTTGCTGCTGTTACAGACTGAACACACAGCACTGATCCTGCAGTCACCATACTGTTCATATCAGTATGAATATTCATAAGTATTCAGATCGGCCTCACTATTTAATTCAGTTGTGGGGGGACAAAGGCTGCCAAAGGAGCCCACGCGCTTTCACAGAGCGGGAGGGCTTTGTGTACGAGAGCACGGGGGGACAGATGGGGCGTGAGGGCCGCAGCCCAGCGGGGCAGATGGACAGCAGGGATATGACGAGTCGAGGTGCCGCCAAGACCAGAATTATCTGAACTCTGAAATGTATTTATTCCAGAAGAATTCCACAGAAACTGATCTGGGTACAACAGAGTTCATGGCAGGCCCGACGCTCAGGTAGACTGCTAGGCCCGCCCAAAGACTGGTTCTCAAGGTTCCAAAGAGGATAACGGCCCACTGCCGGCCCACTGACGGCAGAGCTGGCAGCCCACTGGCTTTTAGCTCAGCGTTTTCCGGCTGGCCCGCTGGTGCAATCTCAAAAAAGATGGTTCTTCAGATAGATGGAGGATGTGTTGTGTATGGTTCTGTATGGAACCTTTTTGAAAAGGGTTATATACAGCACCAAAAAAGGGTTCTTCTACTGTTACAAGCTTGACATTGTAAACAATAGAAGAACCCTTTCTGGTGCTACATAGAAGCCTTTTCAGACACAACACATTCTCCATCAATCTGAAGAACAATTTCACTATGCAGAGAACCGTTTAAGCATGTGTGTACACTTAAAAAGGATGGCTCTTTAAGGGTTCTTTAATAAAGAGAATGGCTCTATTTAGAGTTCTATAAAGAACCATTTGCAGGTGTAATTTTTTTTTGCGTGTTTTTTCAGTGGCTCTTCAGATTGACGGAGAATGTGATGTGTGGTTCTTTGTTTTTGAAAATGGCTCTATATAGCATAGGGTTCTTCTATTGTTTACAATGTTATACTTGTAACAATAGTAGAACCCTTTTTGGTGCCACATAGACCCCTTTTGAAGAACCATTTCACTATGCAGAGAAACATTTAAGCATGCAAATGTGCACAATTAAAAAAGATGGCTCTTCAAGGGTTCTTTAGTAAAGGGAATGGTTCTGTTTAGAGTTCTATAAAGAACAATTTGCAGGCCTGGTTCTTCAATGGCTCTTGATGGAGAATTTAATGTGTGTGGTTCTTTGTGTTTGAAAATAGCTCTATATAGCATATTGACTACGATGTCAAGCTTGTAACAACAGCAGAACCCTTTTTTGGGGCTATATAGAACCATTTTAAAAAGGTTCTGTATAGAACCATATACAACATCAATCTGAGGAGCCGTTGAAGAACCATGCAAAAAACATTTAAGCATGCAGATGGTTCTTTGAGTGTACACTCTTAACAAAGTTGTCTCTTTAAGGGTTCTTTAGTAAAGGGAATGGTTCTATTTAGCGTTCTATAAAGAACCATTTGTATGCTTAAATGTGCTTTGTTCTTCATTGGCTCTTTAGATGGATGGAGAATGTGATGAGTCTGGTTATTTGTGCACAATTTCTATTTATTTAACATTTTAAAAATATTATTAATATTATATTTAATGTTTTATTTTATTTTCCGATGTGTTAAATTCCGTAAATAAACAGTAATTGTGCATTGAAATGTGCAGATGTTTGTGAAGTTTTTATTAACTTGTTTTCACTTAGAAAATCAACCAAACATAATTCTGACAATTCTGAGATTTTTCTGCGGCCCCCTTTAGTGCCCCCCCCCTCATCACGGCTCCCAGTTTGAGAACCGCTGGTGCAGGGAAACCCCCCTCAGAGTGTCTCCCTCGGGACCTCACTCAGCTGCTGAACGAGCAGCGGACTTAGCCAAAAGGAGCTGGACTGAGTCCATTTGGCAGCGAGCTTTAAATCCTGGAGAGCCGCTTCACTGCTGACCTGAAGCCAGACCTTTAGATCGGTGGTTCTCGGTCCACTGACCTGCACTCACCAGATCCAGCTAATGACCTGACCTACCAGCCCCTCCTGAACTTACAGGGTCGTACAAAAGTCAGAGACCACCCTTCGTTTATTTAACTTACAGTCAAGTACAAGTTATACATACATACATACATACATCATCTAAACCGCTTATCCTTCTGGGTCGCGGTGGGGTGCTGGAGCCTATCCCAGCTGTCATTGGGCGGAAGGCAGGATACACCCTGGACAGGTTGCCAGTCCATCGCAGGGCTCAAGTACAAATTATTAAGCAGAAAACCAATATTAAAGCAATGAGCCACTCCAGGCTGTGCGTTACTGAGATTTTATCACAGGGAAGGATGTTCTTAGGCACGACACGAAGCTTTTATAAAACACCTGCCAACATACAATATGATAAAGTACAGAGTAATTTTTAATAATAATTGACATAAACAAGTATTCCGCCAAGAAATGTAGCTCCTTTAGAGCAGAGTTGCACAACTCCGGTTCTGGTCCAGCACACGTTGGTGATTTACCTGCTAAACCACACCTGATTACGCTTTTCTGTGAATTGGCAGGTTTAATGGGTGTGTGTGAGTAGGGAAACCTCAAAACTGTGCGGGACACTGGCCCTCCAGGACCGGAGTTGGGTACCCTGCTTTACAGTATGGTATCGTTGCCAAGCAACCATGAACCACTGAATGAGGAGAGAGTTTGGTCACCCATCGCTGTTTACTGTGGTCATTTAATGATTTTTTAACTTTTAGCACTGTTTAATGCAAAAACTTTCGCTTTATAAGTACTTTTTGTTCACCAAATTACCACCATGAGTCTTGTTTAGCACCAATCCAGCGGCGCCCTCTTCTCACATAGGGGCTGAATCTCAAACGGCTCCCTGCTCCCTACATAGTGCACTACATAGGAGTTTAAATACTGGATCCTGCAGCTCAACAGAGCAAAACACAGCTAAGAAACAGTCATTCGGGACTCATCCACACTCGATACATGATGCACTGTTTGGCTGTAGAGGCTTGATTTCCTAAACTTTCATAGCTAGAACACTATTTAGGGAGTACAGAGCCGTTTGGGATTCAGCCTGGATTTGACGCGACTTCTGACTGAAACACAGACATTTGAAGCGCGTGAGACATTCAAGAGACATTTTTAGACTTTTATACTGCAGTTTTACAGTTAATCAGACTGTAAGTGCTTTAATTCAAGCCTGTGATATTAATGATGGAGCTGTTTAGGCTGTTGGCTCTTTTAGCCTGTTAGCTAGCTCACCAGCCTGGTTCTAGTTAAGAACATAAGTTGTCAGCCTCTCAGTTTAAACACAAAAAACGGGTTCTTACTTCATCAGTGCACTCGGTGGTCCGTCTCCTTTTCTCGGTGAGGTTCTTCTTGACAGTTACACATCCTTTCAGACCCACAGCGCTGAGTCGTCTTCTCACAGTGGAAGGATGGACAGAAACACCTGTGGATGTTTTCAGATCTGAAGCAGCTTGATTTTCTCCTCTCTCTCAAAGATGAGAGCTTTAAGTGCTGTTTATCTGATGGGGGCAGTTTTGGGGTCGACCAGGTCTTCCAGGTGGTTGTTAGGAGTCACATTTTCTCTGTAGCTTTTTATCACTTATTTTCCTTTAACTTTCTCTTTTCTTATACAAGTGGATTATCTTATATCTAATCTCCTCAGAAACATCTCCTGAAAAACTACCTTGTACTGAATGGGCTGAAAACACCCATTTTGTTCTACTTCCGTTGGTTATTTTCTGCTGGATTTAGAGCAGCTGTCCCCATTAGAGCCGGTCAATACAGGTTCCCTCCTGGATGATTTATAAATCTATTTGGGAGCCTCTCCCCAACACTTCACAGCCAGAATATCAGCTAAAGCAGTGCAGGTGCTGTGGAGGCCTTCAGCAGTGTAGCTGTTCTGTTCTGTTCTGATTCGCTGCCCTCATTCAAAAAGCAGTCCGAACTGAAACACTCCTTATAACTTCAGCTTGAATAGGTGGGGCTAAACAGCTGTAGCCTGAATGGGAGGGGCTACACTGCTGTAGGCTGAATGGGTGGGCCTTTTTAATCCTGTGCTGCTGCTTTGAGAATATGTGCTCAAATGTTCCTGCCTGAAGCCTCCACTGATCAGACCCTCTCAATGTGTTTAGTGGGATAACAGTCACTGACTAACTCTTCTGAATATGGATGAGCACTGGAATGGAGCAGAAGAAGCTGAGGGTCGGTTCAGGATTGGATATAAATATCCTCCTTTAGCTTCATAGAACACCCAGCAGCTCTGTCAGATCACAGGCACGAGAGACGTGTGAGGTTCTGTGTGTTCTCTGATTGTTCTTTTGCTATAAAAAGAGAACGTGTAAACTCAGGCCCACCTAACAGTAAAAGAATTGTGCTGCTCTGTTCCTCAGACTGATTATTAGATTATTAGCAGGAAAAGCTGAACTTTGCTGCATCGGTACTCCCTGGCCACTTTATTGGAAACACCTACCTTGTACTTCCACTCACTGGCCACTTTATTAGAAACACCTACTTTGTGCTTTCACTCATTGGCCACTTTATTGGAAACACCTACCTTGTGCTTCCACTCACTGGCCACTTTATTGGAAACACCTACCTTGTGCTTCCACTCACTGGCCACTTTATTAGAAACACCCACCTTGTGCTTCCAGTCAGTGGCCACTTTATTAGAAACACCTACCTTGTGCTTTCACTCATTGGCCACTTTACTGGAAACACCTACCTTGTGCTTCCATTCACTGGCCACTTTATTAGAAACACCTACCTTGTGTTTCCACCCACTGGCCACTTTATTGGAAACACCCACCTTGTGCTTCCACTTACTGGCCACTTTATTTGAAACACCTACTTTTTGCTTCCACTCACTGGCCACTTTATTAGAAACACCAACCTTGTAATTCCACTTACTGGCCACTTTATTAGAAACACCTACTTTTTGCTTCCACTCACTGGCCACTTTATTAGAAACACCAACCTTGTAATTCCACTTACTGGCCACTTTATTAGAAACACCTACTTTTTGCTTCCACTCACTGGCCACTTTATTAGAAACACCTACCTTGTGCTTCCACTCACTGGCCACTTTATTAGAAACACCTACCTTGTGCTTCCACTCACTGGCCACTTTATTAGAAACACCTACCTTGTGCTTCCACTCACTGGCCACGTTATTAGAAACACCTATCATTTGCTCTTCTCGTTTAATGAAGGGATATCTGAATGCAGTTGTGGCATTTATTTGATATGTCATAAACATGACATAGCAAAACCAAAAATGTTTAGATTCTTATTTTGTATGTCACTCAATTTTTTTTGTGAACACTTGAATAGGAATATACTTAATACATTAGACATGTTTTATTAAGTACTTTTATGAAGTATTTTGTATTTTCACCAGTCGTTACATTTAAAAGGAATAAAGATCATTGCACTTGTTGCATAACTATGGTGAGTTACTACTAAATTAAAATAGTGTAATTTGGAACAGATTTATTCGTTTATTTTGTGGCCAAGAGAGGGAATTTTTTTCTGTCTTTCTTGTTTTTACAACGTAAAGAAAAGCAGTGTCTCCTTTTGTCTCACCTCTTCTATTCACTAATGCTCTCTCTCTCTTTCTCTCTCTCTCTGTGCACCTGCTCCCCTCTTATTGTCTTGTCCGATTTGGGGTGTGGAGGCAGGGGAGGGGGTGTGGGGCAGGGGAGGGGGTGTGGCTGATGTGGGGTGGGGGGAGGGGGGATGTCTTGTTCTGCACGGACACATGCATTCATTCTGCAGTCTGCAAACTGCACTGCTCATTTATATTGTACTTATTGCCATGGCAACAAGGATCACTAACAGCAGATGCGCCCCCAACCTCATCATCCGAGCCTTTTATATGTTTACTGCTGTTCTCCTGTCGTCTCACTCGGATACTCCACTGCTCAAAAGTTTGGATCACTCGTCATATTAATAATCTTATATGCAATTAAATAATGTTAAAGTTACATGCTTTGCTTAATAATGAGTGAAAGCGTCCTCTACAGAGAACACACTCCATTTTCATACACACCTACTGTTTATTTGCCTAAGTTAACATATTAGGGAAAAAAATAAGAACACAAAGTGCGGCCTGTGCAAAAGGTCTGCCAAATTGTATGTATATATAATATATATATAGGCTGGTAAATATGTGTAATGCTAAAAAAAACACCTGGTGGTTAATTGGCAACAGGATCTGTAATATGATTGGGTATTAAAAAGCATCTCAGAGAGTCTTTCAGAAGTAAAGATGGGGGGGGGTTCACCACTCGGTGAAAGACTGTGTGGGCAAATATTGCAACAATACAAGAAAAACATTTCTCAGCACAAAATAGCAAAGAACTTTTGCTTTTCATCATCTACGGTACATAATATCATTAAAAGATTCAGAGAATCTGGAGAAATCTCTGTATGTAAGGGACAAGGCCAAAAACCAGTATATGCTGGCCGTGATCTTTGGGCCCTCAGGCGACACTACATTAAAAACAGACGATTCTTTAGTGGAAATCACTACATGGGCTCAGAAACGAATTAAAACTCTTAAACGCAAAGAAGAAACCATACATAAACAGGATCCAGAAATGCTGCCACCTTCTCTGGGCTCATTTAAAATGGACTGAGGGGAAATAGAAATGTGTCCTGGAAATCATGGACACTGTCCTCCGGGCTAAAGACCACTCAGCTTGTTATCAGTGCACAGTTCAAAAGCCAGTATTCATGATGTTCTGGGGGGCATTAGTGCACATGGCATGGGTGACTGGCACATCTATGAAGGCACCATTAATGCTGAACGATATATACATGTTTTGTCAACATATGCTGCCATCCAGACGACGTCTTTTTCAGGGAAGGCCTTGATTATTTCAGCAAGTCAATGTCAAACCACATTCTGCATGTATTACAGCAGCATTGCTCCGTATTAAAAGAGTCTCGGTGCTAAACTGGCCTGCCTGCAGTCCAGACCGGTCACCACTGACAACATTTGGCGCATTATGAAATGAAAAATATGACAAATGAGCCCCAAACAAGAACCGGAAAACGTTTCAAAGCTACAGCAGTGTCTCCTCAGTTCCCAAACGCTTACAGAGTGTTGTTAACAGAAGAGGTGATGAAACACAGTGGTAAACAGGCGCCCAGTCCCAACTTTTTTGGGAATGTGTTGTTGGCATCAAATTCAAAATGGGCAAATGTTTTTCGAAAAAACACGTTTCAACATTTGATTTGTTGTCTTTGTAGTATTTTCCTTCAAAAATATGGTTTTCCTGATTTGCATATCATTGCATTCTATTTTCATTTACATTCTACAGAGCGTCCCAACTTGGAAATGGGGTTGTAAAAGATTAATGATAGGCTGAGTTATTAGTCTCGAGATCTGGTCACCACTTGCAATACGAGTCATTCTGGTTATTCATTTATTAATCATCATTTCATTCTCTCTGCTCTACAGCTTTCTCAGTCGTTTCAGAATCACCTACAGCTCTGCTCTTCATTTTGGACACAGGCGTAAGTGCAGCAGTACAGATCCTAACAAAAACAAAACGGAGAGATCGGATCACCTCCGTTTAGAAGCTGCACTGACTACCAGTCCGTGTTTTCAACTCATCACCACTCGCTCCTGTCCATACTCCAGTCCGTGCTCCGGTTAAAGGGGAACTCCACCGATTTCTCGAAATTTCTGCGTTCAGAGTGGTTTGGTGTGAAACGCTCTGTTCTGGAGAAACTCACCGAGTCAGAATTGTTCACAGTGGTGGTGATAGGAACCAGACGTCCACCTCTGAAAGCTCCCTCACTGAAAGACTTTGTTTACATCCAAACGATTTCGTTAAAGCGACAGTTTGAAAAAATAAAACCCCTTTAATAGTAGTGACTGAATTCAAACTCATTTGTTTTTTAAAAGATTTGATGTATGTTTTCTAATATCAGTTTTAACAGGATTTAATCTCTCTCTCTCTCTCTCTCTCTCTCTCTCTCTCCAGTTCTGAGACTCAGTCATCATGCCTGTGGCTGCCACTGGCACGGAGCCTGGTAAGTCCTGCAGTGATTCACAGTCCTAATATGACTCTGTTTTGCCCTAATCTAAGCCTGTTTTTTATCAAGGTTGATGAGGCAACATTACTCTTATGCCGGGTCACTTAAAGAGCGCATGAAATAAAATAGTTTAAACACTGTTCATGTCTCAAAACGTACAGTTCACTCCCCAAATCATATAGTCCATAAATGGACACAAGGCTGCAGGAACAGCCCGTTTTGAAGTTGTCATGGAGTCATAACCATAAACACATTTACATATGACTGCCCATTCAGCCTCCAGCAGTTTAGCCCCACCCATTCAGTCTACAGCAGTTTAGCCCCACCCATTCAGCCTACAGCAGTTTAGCCCCACCCATTCAGCCTACAGCAGTTTAGCCCCACCCATTCAGTCTACAGCAGTTTAGCTCCACCCATTCAGTCTATAGCAGTTTAGATCCCTCATTCAGCTACAGCAGTTTAGCCCCACCCATTCAGCCTCCAGCAGTTTAGCCCCACCCTTTCAGCCTACAGCTGTTTAGCTCCACCCATTCAGCTACAGCAGTTTAGCCCCACCCATTCAGTCTACAGCAGTTTAGCCCCACCCATTCAGCCTG